TCAATTCAGATAAAATTCCTTAAATTATTCAAAATGGCTCAAAATTATCAAGAGGATTTACCATTTGGTTATGAATCGCCTTATGCTTGTTCAACTTGTGGAAATTATGTACGAAATGTACTTGAATTCCAGTTCGATTGCTACTATTCAACTGTCAGTGGTAAAGGTAAAATTCTGTGGCTCAGTCAGCTGAGACTAAGACTTGCTGTCTCTCCACATTGATAGCAAGTCTGACCGCATTGATGATTCGATTTGACAGCTCTTGATGATTTGATTTGTGGCGTGCATGTCTGACTTCTATATATATTCTAGACAGTATCAATCTGCTTTTGATATAAGGATTGAAGAGCTTTACAGCTGACTCCATTAAATGTCTGGACCAAGATCTCAGACTTTATTTTCTTTGAATCAGTCGTCTAAGCTCCGCTTCTTTCACTCACTCTGCTTCTTTATTTTTCTCTCTCAGCAGTATCTCTCTCGCACTGACTCTTATGACTCATTATGATAGACTCTATGATATTCAAAATCTTTCTTGCTCATTCTCATTCTCATTTTCCTCTCTCTCTCTTCCCAAATTCACAATGGTCACAGCAACCCAAAATCAACACAAATTTCACTCTTGCTTTTCGCACAAAAATCCGTTGACTTATTTGCCCGGCTTTTCGTCTCGAGCTACGACCCATGCGCCTTAAAATATGCAAAACAAAAATGTTGCTGGCACATGTAGGTTGAGTTGCCTTAAGAGAGAGAGAGAGATGGAAAGTGAGAGAGTCTGAATGAGGAACTGGCTGCGCGAGCATTTGCATAATTATAAGATAAATAACAAGAATTTACGAAAAACAACAAACAAAGACGGCAGCAGGAGTGCGGCTGATGATGCTGCAGTCCAGCAACAGCTTTAGCTCCAGTTCCAGTTCCAACTCCAACTCCAACTCACCCACACCAAAAACTCAACTTTTATTTGATTTCTGACTACCAGCAACAACAAAAAAAATACAAAACAAATACTCACACACACACACACACCCAGAGACAGGCACACATGGCTTATGCAAATACCAAGTGGGCGTGGCAGCGG